GGCGACACGCACCTGGGCGGGGAGGACTTCGACAACCGGCTGGTGAACCACTTCGTGGAGGAGTTCAAGAGGAAACACAAGAAGGACATCAGCCAGAACAAGCGAGCTGTGAGGCGGCTGCGCACCGCCTGTGAGAGGGCCAAGAGGACCCTGTCGTCCAGCACGCAGGCCAGCCTGGAGATCGACTCCCTGTTCGAGGGCATCGACTTCTACACGTCCATCACCAGGGCGAGGTTCGAGGAGCTGTGCTCCGACCTGTTCCGTGGCACCCTGGAGCCGGTGGAGAAGGCCCTGCGCGACGCCAAGCTGGACAAGGCGCAGATCCACGACCTGGTGCTGGTGGGCGGCTCCACCCGCATCCCCAAGGTGCAGAAGCTGCTGCAGGACTTCTTCAACGGCCGCGACCTCAATAAGAGCATCAACCCTGATGAGGCGGTGGCCTATGGGGCGGCGGTGCAGGCCGCCATCCTGATGGGGGACAAGTCAGAGAACGTGCAGGACCTGCTGCTGCTGGACGTGGCGCCCCTGTCGCTGGGGCTGGAGACGGCCGGGGGCGTGATGACCGCCCTGATCAAGCGCAACTCCACCATCCCCACCAAGCAGACGCAGATCTTCACCACGTACTCGGACAACCAGCCCGGGGTGTTGATCCAGGTGTACGAGGGCGAGCGGGCCATGACGCGAGACAACAACCTGCTGGGGCGCTTCGAGCTGAGCGGCATCCCCCCTGCCCCCAGGGGCGTGCCCCAGATCGAGGTGACCTTTGACATCGACGCCAACGGCATCCTGAACGTCACGGCCACCGACAAGAGCACCGGCAAGGCCAACAAGATCACCATCACCAATGACAAGGGCCGCCTGAGCAAGGAGGAGATCGAGCGCATGGTGCAGGAGGCAGAGAAGTACAAGGCSGAGGACGAGGTGCAGCGCGAGAGGGTGTCTGCCAAGAACGCCCTGGAGTCCTATGCCTTCAACATGAAGAGCGCTGTGGAGGACGAGGGGCTCAAGGGCAAGATCAGCGAGGCCGACAAGAAGAAGGTGCTGGACAAGTGCCAAGAGGTCCTTTCCTGGCTGGACGCCAACACCCTGGCCGAGAAGGATGAATTTGAGCACAAGAGGAAGGAGCTGGARCAGGTGTGTAACCCCATCATCAGTGGACTGTACCAGGGTGCGGGTGGTCCCGGGGCTGGAGGCTTTGGAGCTCAGGCCCCCAAAGGGGGCTCTGGATCGGGCCCCACCATCGAGGAGGTGGATTAGAGGTCTTTCCTTCTTCCCTCCCTCCATGTTTTTCCTGTCGTTGAGACCCACTGTTGGGACTCCAGGGCTTTGCTGTTTGCCCTCTGTTATTATCCAACTTCAGTTTTCTGCTGCTGACTTTTTTCTAAAGTGACTGTTGTATCTGGATGGTAACTATAGCTGAATGTCATTATATTTTTGTGGTGTAAGCCATGTGTTCTTTAGGTTTAATGTAAGTTAGCTCTGTGAGGATGTCTTTCCTCTTCTCCTTGTTTTCTAACATAAACAATCATACATCGGATAAGAGTGTTGATTTGTGTTTGCAAGAAGACAAAGGCTCATTTTATTTTTCAAATGATGAAAAATTGAAATCGTCAGTAGAACTGCCAGGTTTTGGCTGGCCCTGGAATTGTTGTCTTTGGGCCTCTTGTCCCCAAGGGGTTTCTGTCTGGCTCCTCCATTCAGGAGGAAGGTTAAAGACCCTTCCTTCCATAGGCCATGTTTGTAGATGGTTGAGCATCAAGACTTTACTTTTTCTTGTATCTTTTATTGTTTGCAAACTATATATTTTGTTGAACTTGATGTTTCTCCGCTTTTTAAATATAGAGATGAATTTATACTGTCACTTTGTCCATTTTCTTTTTTATGTACTCATACTGAACTCAAACCAATTTTTTATTGGTTACTTAAAAATAAATAAACACATAATTTTACTGGTGTCTGTCTTCCTTTTCTTATTTTTTGAGGTCAGAAGGTATATGCATATGTTGTTTTCTTACAGTTCTATAATTATGGCAACAGAAATCGGGGTATGTGGTCTGCAAACGTTAAGAATTGACAGCAGGTGAGGGTACAAGCTCTGGCTCCTGAATTAAATGCTCAAGTGCCTTAACTACCCTCATCCCTGGCTGTCATCTTTTAAAGTGGGATTTTTGATGCTTTGGTCTAAAGTTATTTTTGAATGGATGCCAAAATAGTTGTCATTTAACTACCCCAGATAACACATTAGGGAGATGTCACCTGAGAACATATGCCTCAGTAGCAGAAAGACCTCAACATTTGAGTGCTGTAATGTAGTGCAGACACTACACTGGGACCTGGGGCCTTTTGTGTGTTACTTTATTCTCACTTTACCACACTTCCTTAGGTATTGCTGACATTCACAGGTGGACCTGTGGGGAGACTAATAAGTTACTAACAACTATAGTTGCTTAAATGGAAGGGAAAAAAAATCATTGGTTCAGCAAAGATGTTCAACCTGGTTTCTAATTCAAAAGTTTTTGCCATACCATTGCAAGTCCACCACCAGATTTTGTTTATGCATGTCTAGTTTGAGCTTCTATTTCTATCTTAGGTTTTTTGGTTTTTTTTTTTTTTTTGTACTGGGAATTAAATTTTGGGGGCACTCCACTACTGAGCCACATCCCCAACCCTTTTTTGTATTTCATTTAGAGACAGGGTCTCACTGAGTTGCTTAGATCTTTGCTAAATTGCTGAGGCTGGCTTTGAACTCACAATCCCCCTGTCTCTGCCTCTGAGCTGCTAGGATTATAGGAGTRCACCACCAAGCCTGGCACTACCCTAGTTTTACAGTCAGTTACTCCTTTTATCTTTACTCTGTATACTCCTAAACAATTATGCCAACTATACAATAGGAATGATGATAAACTGTTAGTACTTATTAATTTAGAAAAATGTGGGGTGGGGCTTGGGTTGTGGCTTAGTGGTAGAGTGCTCACCTAGCACATGTGAGGCACTGGGTTTGATCCTCAGCACCACATAAAAATGAAATAAAGATATTGCGTCCACCTACAAAAAATTATATAATATATATTATATAAATGTGGTGGGGGGGTGACTTGAAGTCCTGAACTATACAAACTACCCCTCCCTCCTGCCCTTTTTTTTTTCTTTTGAAATGCTTCATGTCCTTGCWGCTAGCATCTTAGAATTAACAGCCCCGAGTTTTCACCTGCCATAATTCCCAAGGATTGGGTAGTGATGCTCTTTAAAAATAATTCAGGATGACCTGGTTGGCCAGGCCTGATGGTGCATCCTGTAATCACAGCAACCCCAGAGGCTGAGGCAGGAGGACTGCAAGTTCAAAACCAGCCTCAGCAAAGGTGAGATGCTAAGCAACTCAGTGAGACTCTGTCTCTAAATAAAATACAAAATAGGGCTGGGGATGTGKCTCAGTGGTTGAGTGCCCCTGAGTTCAATCCCCAGTACCAAAAAATAAAAAGAGCTAGTATATAACCTAGCATGTTTAGGGCCCTGGGTTCAATCCCCAGTACCACAAACAAAACAAGAGGCTGTAGAGCTGGGCATGGTAGGATACACTTATTATCACTGCTATTGGGAGGCTGAGGCAAAAGAATCACTAAGCCCAGGAGTTTGAGGCCAGTCTGGATGACTTAGTGAGATCTTGCCTCAAAAACAATCAGTTCTAGGAGTGATGAAAATATTTTGGTAATGTTTTGAACAACCAATAAAAAAAAGAAAGAAAATATTTTGGAACTAAGTCCTGGTACATAGCTCAGTGATAGCATGGGTAAGGTCCTGGGTTTCATCCCCAGCACCACATGAAAATATATGTATTTTGGAATGCAGAACACTGTGAAGGAACTAAGTATCACTGAATTTCACACTTCAAAATGGTTGCTCAAATTTTTTTTCAAATGTTTATTTTTTAGTTGAAGATACCTTTACTTTATTTATTTTTATGTGGTGCTAAGGATCAAACCCAGGGCCCTGAACATGCTAGGTGAGCATTCTACCCCTGAGCCACAACACCAGCCCCTCAAAAAATTTTTTAAAGTAGCCAGGCTTGGTGGCACATGCCTGTAAACCAGGTGGCTCAGTTCCAGAGGCTGAGACAGGAGGATTGTGAGTTCAAAGCCAGCCTCAGCAAAGATGAGGGGCTAAGCAACTCAGTGAGATCATGTCTCTAATAAAATACAAAATCAGGGGGGCTGTGGATGTGGTTCAAGTGGTAGCGCCTTGCCTGGCATGTGCGGAGCGCTGGGTTCAATCCTCAGCACCACATAAAAATAWAATAAAGATGTTGTGTCCACCGAAAACTAAAAAATAAATATTAAAAAAATTCTCTCTCAAAAAAAATAAAATAAAAAATACACAAAATAAGGCTGGAGATGTAGCTCAGTGGTTGAGTGCCCCTGAGTTCAATCCCCAGTACAAAAATAAAATAAATAAATCAAAATGGTTAATTTTAAATAAGTGAATTATTTATAGTACTGGTGATCAAACCTTGTACATGCCAGGCAAGCACTCTACCACTGAGCTATATCACAACGTGTTAGTAAATTTTTTATTCTTTTTTTGGTACTGACTCAGGGGTTCTTTGCCACCAAGCTACATTGCCAGCCCTTTACACCCCTTTTTTTGGTACCAGAGATTGAACTCAGGGGTGTTTAACCACTGAACCACTTTTCAGCCCTTTTTTAAAAACTTTTTATTTTGTGACAGGGTCTCATTAAATTGCTTAGGGCCTTGCTAAATTSCTGCAGCTGATCTCAAAAGCCTCCTGAGTTGCTGGTTTTACAGATATGTGCCACCACACCTGGCCCATTTTTAAAATTTTGAAATAGGGTTTCGCTAAATTGCTTAGGGCCTTGGTAAGTTACTGAGGTAGGCCTCAAATTTCCAATCCTCCTGCCTTGCTGGGATTATAGGCATGAGCCACTCTGCCCAGCCTATTAGTGAATGTGTCAGCAAAAGATAATTCAAAAATTAAATTGAGCTGGAATAATGGCACACACTTATAATTGCAGATACCGGGGAAGCTGAGGCAGAAGCATCTGAAGTTTCAGGCCAGTCTGGGCAATTTAGCAAGAATCTGTCTCAATATAAAAAAGGGCTGAGGGTGTAACTCAGTGGTAGGGTGCTTGCCTACTAGCATGTGCCACACCCTGTATGGAATCTCCAGTAGTGTAAAACTATTGGTATTACATAAAAGCATTTTGTGAGCTGATGTGTACCTCAAAGCCCATTAATCCTTTTACTAAATAGTGGCTTTAAAGAAAATCCAGTATTATGAAAAAGGCATATGCAGGAAGATCTTGCACTGTAAATGGAGAAGGAATCTTTCAGAGATGCTTAGGTTTCCAGCCAGCCAATAGAGACATTTAAACCTCATGATAGCTGAACTGCAGCAAAATGTAAATCAATCTTCATGGAAATATGGATTTATTATAGAACAGTCTTTCCCCCCTAGACCTGGAGTAGCATTTATGATCATTATCTCTAGACAAGTGGCCCTCTAAACACCATTATCCCTATATTGAGGAAAGGGTGAGCAGGATGGGGTGGGGGGGCGGTGAGGGAAGGACCTWCCTATAAATCCCAGTTTGATAAGAGAAATCTTCAGAAACAACATTAATGGAGAAAATAAGAGCTTCCAATGGCCAAATCAATCAAGGTTATTGGCAGATGCTTAATTAAAACAATAAGTTATTGCCTGCCTGCATACTCTAGCAACGAATACTTTGAAATGTTCACTTTATAACCTCAAGGAAATCAGGCTGGAAGAATTGCAGAATTAATAAAGAGAATGAAGTACTATATATGGAAGAAGTGATATTTGGGGCATCAAAGGTACTTTGACGGAGGAGAGGTTTATCAGGAAAAATAACTGTAGGTGTGGAAAGAATTTTCAAAATCAGTACCTGGGCTGGGGATATAGCTCAGTTGGCAGGGTGCTTGCCCTGCATGCACAAGACCCTGGGTTTGATCCCCAGCACCACAAATTAAAAAAAATAAAAACATTGCTATTAAAATCAAGTATCCTCCCCGATTATAATCACGTGCTGCTTTCCTATGGGCCTCAGAAAACACCCGGGCATTTGAACCCAGGGTATGCTTTACTGGCAACATACATTTGCTGTTATTCCTGGTCTTAGAACCAAGGTTCTGACACCCTCCAAAGATGAAGAAAGGATACCAAAGAAAACAATCATTTTTTACAAATGTGGAAAGAAGTGGGCAGGTACAGGGTTTTTAATAAAAGAGGAGATGGAGTTATTTAAAGTCATTTAAGGCTAGAAACCAGTATTGCCGATTTTAAGGGAGCGAGCGAGTCTTACGTAGGAATAAGAAACTAACTCTCCACATCAGTCCACCAGTCTGAAAGAGCAAGCCCACCAAACCTTCTCCCTTTCCTTGCACTTGGTATTTAAATGGACGTTAAGGGGTGGCAGCCGGGCGATTCAGGACGCTGAGGCAAGCCCGCCCCTCATCGGCCAGATCAAGTTCTGCCGGAGAGGGCTAGGGAGGGATGGAGCCGGGGAACAGCGTGAGGCAGTCCCGGAGCCCGGACACCGGGAAACACTCCGGAGAGTCTTCGACCCCCTGGGGAGGCGGTGAGGTGGCGGCACCAGCAGCCCACAGATCCCATCCTCGCCGCAACCGCTGGTCGCCGGTCCTCGCCCACACCCGTACAAGCTTTAACGGTGGGGACATTGTTTTCTCGCCTCTGGCCGCCTAATTCATCTGGTTGAGTAAAAGTTACGAAAGTTTCCCAAATTTCCGCCTGATAAATTAGTGGTCGCAGCCACTCGGGTGGCAGAGGGTCTAAGGATGGCTCTAGCCTGGGAGTTCCGAGCCAACCTGGGCAACTCAGCGAGACTCCGTCTCAAAACAAACAAAAAGTTCTC